AGAGGTTACCTGCGGGGAGGGTGAAGGTGCAGAACTCGTTGATATATCTGCAGGGGAAGTTGCCCTTCTTGGTGCGCAAGCAGCCCGCCATGTGCCGCCGGATGGCCGCCGCCAGGTCGGGCGCTGCGACTCGCGACAACAAACAGTTAGAATACACAATGTACATGTTACAAAGAGAATGTTTAAGATAGAGTAGAGGTAGTGATGTGTTCATAGCTCACCTATGTACGAGGGCGAGCGCTTGAGGCCGGGCCCGCCGCCGGAGATGCGCGACAGCAACGTGGACAGGATGTCCTGCCTCTGAAACCTGCCGGCATGTGACGCGTGAGTGTGTGTGGGGGTGAAGGGTGGGGGCGCAGGGTGGGGGCGCAGAGTGGGGGCGGCGGCGGGTACCTGATGGCGAGGTGCACGAGCGTGTGTCCGGCGTCGAATGCGGAGGCGCGGTTGAGCAGCTGCACCTCTGGCGGCGTGAGCGCTCGCGCCGGGGACCCGCCGCTCGCCAGGTACGCCTCCACGCAGCGCGCCTCGCCCTCCACCACGCCTGCACACACAATACTGCACTCGTGTCGCCTGCAGCTTGCAGCGTGCAGCGTGCAGCGTGCAGTACGCACCGAGACAGGCCTGCAGCCACAGCCAGTCGGGGTTATTCCTGCGCTTGCTGCGGCGGGCGGCGTCCGTCTCGTGCGCGCCACTCTGGCTGTTGTTGCACACCTCCGTACCGCCTGCAACACTCAATGGGTTCTAACAGGTTCAAGTATCACATAAATGTACTGATCGATGGCCGATACTGACCGTCATTCTGTTGGTTGGTGTGGTGCGGGTGGTGCGCGTGGTGCGGTGCGGACGCGGCGCCGCACATGGCGCACTTGAGCGCGCGCGGCCAGTTCTCGTATGTACATGTCTGATTGAATAAAAATATGATTTACAAAATATCTATAATTTAAAACACAAATACACTCATAAGGAAACATTATAATTTCTAGCATCAGACTTACCGAACAAGCCCACTTGTTGACGGAGGAGGCGCTGGCCTGGCCTTGCGGAGATGATATTCTCAGCGGCTTCAAGCGTTCCGCTACCGCCTCCGCCCCTGTTGCCCAGACAATCTTTTTTTCTTACAAATAACAGAATGATTATCACTGCATCCAAATGATGCTCTTAACCCTAAATAAAGACAACTCCAGATCATCGTCAATGTTTCATGCATTTCTTGAATTATGTATGACAATATAAATAATATAAGAGACAATGTAACTGACCACAGACTTGTTGTGAGGGTAATGCACTGGCACCATCCTGCTGCAGCTTAAAGATGTCCTCCCCCAGCGAAGGCTTGGGTGTGCGGCACATTGTGCACTGCACACACACAAAAATGCTGTACAACTCTCTATAGCTAACAAGGGTAGGGGCTTATTTAACCTGTATAATATGTTTAGGACATATCTACATGTTTATTCACTAGTACAATATCATCTGTGGGGATTTCCACAAATGATAAAATGACTATATTGACCTCATTGTCACCTCATAATATGTCCCCGCGGAAGGAGTCAGAGCCTACTCAATCATGGTCAATCACAGTTTGGTTGCTTCACACATATTTTATGTTCATGTCCGATCTTAACAACTGCACCTATATTGATCTACTTATCACAAAATGTTTTGAATGCAAAATTTCTATCTAAATTAGCAATACTTTCTCCTATATCATCTCTTTGACATAATGAGAGGAATGTTTTAAATATTGTTCAATATTCAAAATATCTTTTAATTGTCTACATTTGTATTGTAACATTACCTTCCTGGAAAGTGGGAAGTTCTCATAAGTACACATCTCGCACATCCACTTGCCCTCCGAATGTGGCACCGAGCTTGCCGTCATCTGCAAATGCAGCCAGTTGGCTAAACAGTTGTTTAACATCCCATACTGAATGCACTCAACCAACTCTAGATCTTTTTCCTCACCAGACTTTATTTATTAAAGAATAGTAATTACTTGTGTTAGATGGGGGTCAGCAATGAAGGAAGGGGATGACAACTTCAATATATTTATTCCTTACTAAGAAGCATTACTTTTTAATTTTAAAATAAATTTCTTGGCCATATTATTATTTTTAACATAAAATCTGAGGTGTAATAATTGTCTGCAATCTTAACACTTTATGATGTTTTACCTGGCCAAGCTGCGCATGTGAGACATTGGTGGAGGCATCCAGCTGTGCAGGGATACTCTCCGCTCCCTGCCCACCTGACTCCTGCGACTCGGCAACCGATGCAGTATTCTTGCTGCTATCATTATGTGCCTCCTCGCTCATTGTACCATCAATAAAATCATATGTACCCGTCTCCTTGCAACTAAGTTCTATGTTAACAACTATGAGGCAGGCATTGTAACATAACCTCCTTATTATTGTTTGTAAAAGTGGTCAACTTGGGGTATAAGAGCACTTAGTTATGGGCGTTCAAACAGTTTTCAGCTAAAAAAACGACATTTTCAATTAATAAACGCTTAAAGCGAACGTCGAAATATTTAACACATTTCTTTACTTACAGTTACTTTCGTTTATTACAAATAGCGGGAGTAAAGATTCTTATATGAAAATTTCTTATTAGGTTTTTTGACAGAATATCATGCTGGACATCAAAATGTATTATTGTCGAACAATTAACCGTCGAAGTGAGATTTGGCATTTACTTGTGGCGTCGTTACACAACTTATAATTGCATCGAGGTGTCGTTAGCAAAACTAAGGTCAAGAACAAGAAACCAAGCATACAATTCACTCACTCGCGATGATCCAATGGTTACGGAAATAGAGCACAGTATGAAGATCCTTTTTCAAGTTACAAGCTTTAGTTAGATTTTTGGCTGCAAGGTATTATTATTCACAGAAAAACGAGGAAATAAAATGAGAATTGATGACTGAAACGTAAAAGAAATAATGTTTATATGGTATTTTGACAAATAAATTTGTGTCAACTCTATGTCAATCCAAACGGAGGTTGGTAAATCTTTCCTCGAGATTTTTTTTTAATACTGATATAAAAATTTTATATAATGTCAACTAAATACGATTGGTTGTGCCAGGATGTGTGCTCTGTTTGTGAAATGTGAGCCAATGAAAATAGATTGCAAAAACAATCGGCCAATCATAATTTTTGAAATGATTCCATGTTGGCCATGTTCCGTTTCTGACTAAAAATCAACAAAAAGAGTTAAAATGGGGAGGTAATTTCTACGATTTCATCACCTTTTCTAATTACAATAGGAAGCAATTTAAAGAGTTTAAATGGGGACGTAATTAGAATGAACAACTATCATCGAGAACTGAAAGATATCCTTTGAAAATTTAACTCATTTCTCGGTGTTTTTTGGTCTCATCAAATTTTCTGTAAGCAGGCACTGACCTCTATAGACATATAATGTGATATTATAACTTATCCTTTTGTAAAGCTTACCCCTAACTTCTATTCAGATCAGTTGGTCGCACTATACAGAGATTTGAACTTTGATGGAAGAAGTGACAGTTAAAATATGTCTACGAAACCAATGTTTCGCTTTTGGAAATTGACGGCTATTGTATGTTTTTTGAATGAATTTCAGTCATAATATATCGAAAAGCTCTCTCAGATCTTCGTCTTCCTCTAGCAAAAGTATTTATCAATCGGAAGAAATAATAAAACTTGAAAACATAATTGAAACTCTTCAACATAACAATGAAACTTTAAAAAAATCTTTGGAGAAGAGGGACACTGCGATAGCGATTTTAACCCGAGAGAAAGAAAAAATATACGAAGAACTAAAGTGCGCACAAAGGACAAATCGAAATCTGTATCAGCAGTTGACAGACGAGAGGTAAATTCGGTTTCAGCGACTGACGCGTTAGCCAAGTTAATCATTATATTTTATACCTTTAACTGCATGCGTTTTTCTTCTTAGGGATATACATTTTAAGGAGAAGGAATATTTGGTACAAGACATTAAAAGGTTATCTATAAGACGTGAGACAAACACAATCTTTGAAACTCGAGTAAGTTAATAGAATGCTTTGAGTGCATAAGCACATTTTGTAATATATGTAATATATAATAAACAATTTTTGTTATATTTTTCCTTTATCAAGTGTGAAGGAGAAAGAATATTTTCTTCATTAGAAGAGGAAATCCAAGAAAAAGATCGCATAATTTACAACATATGTACCAAATATTTGAAGGTGAAATCAAGCAAAATGTCGTTGCAGAAAAGATTTATTAAATTACAGAAGCAAAGTAAAAAGGTATTTTTAGTTTATTAGACGCCGGAATTATTATCAAAGACTAATTGTAAGCAACTTCACTCACCGAATTTATCTTTCGGTACAATAATAGATACATTCTAGGAATCACCTCCCTTACTTTTTGGGATGTCTGACAAATTTATAAATGTCCCCTGATTCGCTGAGCTAAGTGATTGATAGCCTGTATTCCATTGTTTTCTGGTGGTGGCGGCCCATTGTTCAACATTCGACAATAAGCTTTATGCACGTCTCCACATTGAAATTAAAATATTTTTTCAGATGTGTGACAATATTGTGTCCATATTAGAAGAAAATAGAGAAGTATTAGACGCTCTGCTCAATCGTTTATTAAAAATGTCTCACATATCAAAGCCTGGTAAAAAATTTATTAAACTATTGCAAATTAATACCAGGCTCCATTACGAAAATACACAACTGAAAATACAAATGACGCATGAAAACGAAATTTCTTCAAGAAGAGGTTTAAGCGTATCGAATATAAAATTCCAAAAAAATAATATTTTTGAGGATAAAGATAAAAATGTCCTCATAACCAAAACACCACAGCTCCGGCGTTCTTTGTCGACGAATGCTACCTATTTTATCAGACGTCATGGAGGTTTAACAAACTTTAAAAGTTTGCATAATAGTCTATCGCCACACTTTCGTAAAGAAATTTGTAAATCAAAGTCTGACAGCAATTTGGCTTATTTTAAATAGATTTATAATAAACTGATTTTTTACTCTTTTCCCTTTGTATTCTTAAATATCCTTTTGCCTTAGTGTTAACTACAAGTAAAAATACAAGTTTTATGTTGTTTTTAAATATTAGGAAAAAACTACGGTAATAAAAATAATGCATAAGTTTTTTTAAATGGAATACATTTTTTAAGCCAATCCTCAGACCTCTATAGATACGAACACATCGATTCTTGGAAATGACATCTTTTCCGACTTAAAAGCGGCGGTCATTTTTCTGATAGTTAATTTATCTTTTATTATCCGTTCAAATTCTAATAACCGTTCCTAACAACACTAATATGGCGAAGATGAAATAGGCACAAAGAAACCACCTCTTGTAGCCTGTCCAGAATAATCATTCTGTGACTTAATGTGATACCAAATTACTCTGTGTCCACCTGCCAAATACTCTTTGCGCCTTTCCAAAACGGGCAACACTGGTCCCAGATTTGTGTGTGCCGGCAACGCATGAGAACGTGTCGCAAAATCTCAATAAATTAGTGAAATCACCATGTCGGACGAGTACTTTTATGGTGAGTTTTATTCTTTATTAAATTCTTTTAATAATCGAAGTATTATTTATGGTGGAAACCTAGTACTTTGTAAGTTTAGCCGCCTTTACTTTGGCGTATCCCTTTTGACACCCGGCTACTTCGCCATTTTAAAATTCGATATTTAATTGTAGTTGATATTATTTCCAGTGGTAATGATTGTAATATGTAACTGAAAATATAAAATTCACATATATTTGATAATATCCTATGGCTCACTGTGTGTTTATTAAATTGCCGCCATTTTTAAGTTGAAATGATATTGGGCAAGTATTTGTTATCATTCATTGCAATGGCGTTTCTAGCTTTTAAGTATAAAAAGGTCACTTATGGTACCCACTACTATGTAGGGTTTATCACGATATGCGCACTAACAAGCGTGTGATTCGCATGAGAACTAGTACTGTCAAGGCGGGCAATTTGAAAGTATGGCGTCCAAGCGTCTCTGGCGAAGCGTTTTAGTTTGTTTCGTGGAAATATGCATACGAGATTATTAAGTCTATTTGTCGAAGAGGAAGTAGTCAATACAACTCTAAAAAGATTTAGGTTATAATTAAAGGTCACACTTTAGTTAAATATTATTTACTTTGATTTATAGGTGTAACCCTATCGTCGTCACATCAATCAGAGACATGGGATCCGGAAGCGAAAGCCGAGTATCCACGCAGCAATAAGCTATTAATCCGCCAAGCGCTGCTGGGGCCTGATGCCAAACCTGATGAACTCAATGTTGTACAGGTACTGTGTATGTTGGGAACAATTTGAAGTACTTATTTTATGTAACCGAAAATGTCGGGTCAAGATACATGTATTTATTCTCTGAGTAATAAAGCATGTGATGTGGATATTTGAGGTTAATTTCTTTAAGATTCAATTTAGCTTGGCTTTTTTAACTTCTTGAAAGTATCTAAATGTTAAGGTCTACTGTGAACACAAAAAAACAGTCTAAAATTTAAGTATAACACAAATTTTGGAGGTAGAGTAAAAGTTTTTAAAAATTAACAATATATAATAATGTAATTTGATTCCAGGTTGAAACCATGTGCCTTCAGGACTCTATCAAAATTCCTGTAGCTATACTGAAAGTGGGTGAGACGAGGCATGCACGCTTAGATATTGAATTTCCTGATGCACCAGTTACTTTCACTCTCACTCAGGTGAATTTTCTTTGTACCATAAATAATAGTTTTAATTGTGCACTTATTGCTATGTTTTTTCCATAACTCTTATATAAATATATATGTGATTTCCTAATTTTATATGATGATAAAACAAACCATTTGTATTTGACGGGTGTGTAAAGTCGTTTTGACTTTACACTGCCTGATAATGATTGATTCGAGGCATTTGTCTGACTTCCTTATTTTTCATAAATAATTTACAAATTGGAAACTTTTATATCTACATCACAAAATTCTTCATATACAGGGTTCTGGGCCAGTCCATCTAATTGGCCAACATTTACTGGGTGCCCTTGTAGAGGAATTTGAAGACATGGAAGAGATGGAAGAGGAAATGTTGGATGAGGAGGAAGGAGACGATTCCCAATTTAAGGTTTGTGTACCCTCAGTTTTTTAGTGACCATTATTTAAGAGTCACAAACTGTATCCATAATATATATTTACATGACCATAACATGTTTACAATACCAAAAGGTCAGATTTCAGTGATGCATGACATTACCCTGATGTTATTTGTTTAAAAATCTAGCTCATGTATTTGTAGTTAGCAAACATTTTTACTTACTAAGATATTTTTGGTATCGGTGATTTAGTAGAGTACTAAATTTACAGGAAGATGAAAATAAAAGGAAAGGAGCTGGCAAGCGCAAGGCGAATGAGGTACTGAAAACCTTCAACTAATATCAAATTATATATGGGTTCCTTACATGCTCACCAGAGGGAAAAGGGCAAAGGCCCAATTCTGCAAAATATAGTGGCATCATCAGCTTGTGATAAAAGTCAAGTTATTTGTGTTGCCATTATTATTTGGTGAAACTGGGCCCGAACAAAAGTGCTAATTGCTGCAGAATGTGCAGAGTGATGACCACTCAATATAATTGGCTGTTGGTTTTCTGTACTCATTCAGTACCCCTTTACCTTCTGATAGCTTAGCTGTTATGTTATTTGATACATTGTAAGAAGTAAGTGCCTCTTTACAATTTGTACAAAATATTTTGACAGGATGAAGATGATGACGAAGGCGAGCCCAAGGGTAAAAAATCGAAAATGTCCAACAACGCCAAAGGCAAGGCTACGTCGCCCAAGAAGAATGCCAAGAAGTGAACCGCCTCTATGCCTGAGCACCGCTCATGACACACCTTTACTTAGACCAATTCTGTTGGAGACTGATAAGTATTTTAGGTAAACTTACCTATTACAATTTACTAAAGTCAGTTTCACATTCAGTTAATAAAAAACAATGTCAAATGAAATGTGTGGTGATGACTGAGCGGCAGCAGAGGCATTTTAGTTGTAACAATATAGTGTGGTAATTCAGACTAGGTTAGCATTATATCAACTCTGTGTGCCTGAGCCAGTGAGGGTGTGCGCGCGCGCGTGTTTGTGTGTGTGTTAGTGTTATGTTCAATGTATGACTGCTGCACAGTTTGAGCTCCACTTGTCTTAAAAATTGCAAGTGATGCAAAATGTAGCAACCTCAATTTGACACCAGCACCCACAAAATAATCCTGTGCGGTTGCTGGTGGTCAAGTGTGATTACTTCACTATTTTTCAGTACTAAATTTCATTCCTAACTGTGGTATAGTGTTATTGACGTGAAATTTATGATAAGCCTTTATTCACACAGATGTATTTTTAAGTTAAGAGGTAAGCATAATCAGTGTACATTAAGTCATTGTCAACTAGTTGCCGGAGACATTATTCAAATTGCGACACATTTCAGAATGAAAACTGTACATATAAAAATGTAAGAACGGTATTAATAAAACCATTTTTAAACAATTCTATTTGCCTTTTATTTACCTAATATGAATTTATTGAAGAATTCATTACAAGTCACTTTGAGAGAGAGAAAGACATGTCAATGCCTGTGAAGCATTGCATGAAGAATATTGTTCCTCTCCCTCTGAATAGTGTTGGATTCTTCAATGACTTGGACCAACTTCTCAAACTTATCTTTTCCTTCATTTTGGTTAATATTTCTAACAGCACTTTTTATTTCTGTTAGTGTAACATTGTCAATGGTGCATCTGTGATTGCATTCCCTGTTTATTTTTGGTTGATCATAAATTTGTTCAAAGTAAGTATAATATGGCCATTGGTTACATTTACCAGTTACTCTTTTTTTCTCTGCTAGTCTAATGTAAGTTTGTTTTAAGTTTCTGAATTTTTTATCACACTCTTCTGTGGAGAGTCCCAGACTGGGTCCTATTTGTTTCCAAAGATTTTTCTTTTTCATTAAGGGGTCTCTAAACTTTTCCTTATTGTTTAAGTAGAAAGTAAGCAATTGATGGACGTAGTCACCATCCTGGTTTTTGTAGAAAAGTCTTGGAATTCCATCATTACTGTTGTAATTGGTGTTCTCAAAAATTGATTCAAAATCCTTATAGTAATACCACTTTGTTATTGATCTACCTGATTCTGCTCTCATTTTTAATCTTATATATGTTTGTTTCAAATTTCTGAATTTTCTATCACAATTACTTGGATTCTCTCCAACTATGTTTGATATTTCTTTCCAAAGTTCTTTTTTTTGCATTCTTGGGTTTACAAATTTATGAGCTATTTGACCATATGCCGCAATAAGCTTTTGTATTTTATTTCTATCCCAAGGGCCCACATTAGGGTTGTAGTTGTAAAATATTCTTTCAAAATAGTTGCGGTAGGGCCATTTTATTAATTTGCCAGTGTCTCTAGTCCTCTCCAACCAATTGAAATAAGTTCTTTTTAAATTTTTAAACTTATGGTAGCAATTATATTCTGTTGTATTTAACTGTTGAGCAATTTCTCTCCAAACATCCTTTTGCAAGCAATCAGGGTTTCGAAATTTATTAATATTTTCTATATACAAGTTGAGCATCCTCCTTATTTTGTTATCTTCCCAAGTCTCCAGTAATGAAGTTGACAAAGATTTACAATCTTTGAATACTTCTTCACAAATGTTATAATGAATCCATTTAATATCTTTACCTAATCTTTTCTTTTTAAGTAATCTAATGTATGTTCTTCTAAGATTCCTAAATTTCTTATCACATTCTCCAGGAGAAGTTCCAACATTGACAGCAATTTCATCCCATAAAACTTTATCTTTGTTTGAATTTTTGTACCTTTGGTCAAGGCAGAGTGTGAGCAATAATTTTATTTTGTTCTTGTCCCAAAATGTTTCCTCTTTTAATGTATCTAGTTCTTCTTTTTTACAATGCTCTAAAGCTTCATCAGATATGGGTAAAGGGGCTTCATTTATTTGTATGTACTGCCTGTTGTCAAGGGTCTCTATAGGATTCCTAGAGTCTTGGTCTGAAACTTGATATGATAAATATCATACAAATTTATGTAAATATCTATTACTTATAGAATGAGAAATAGTACATTTTGTATTGTTATCAATTTTAGTGATATGTCGTAACAGGGATAAGGAGAGGAGTGAGGTTTTTAGTTAAATGTATTAAAACAATTCCAAGTACAATAACAAACAACGCATTAGGCTATTTGATTTTCTGATAAACCAAATCAATAATTATCAGTTTTCCTTAATCATTTAAATGTATGTACTTACTTTGAGGATTTTGTATAGCAAAATTATTGCTACTGAAAATAACATTGCTTTGATCTTCTCTCAGCACAAACCAATAACTTTGATTGTGTGAATGTGTAACTTCCATTTCGTTACTTTTTCTATTTTGTTCGTTCTTATAAACTCGCTTTGTTGACATTGACAGACATAGCTGTTGTCTGTTGTTCAGTCATGGTCGTGTTTTCAAAACACAATTTCAAAACGTCTTTGCGTCTCTGGCCTGGCCAGCACAGCATAAAAATATAAAAACATGTAATGTCCATAGAGACAGGAGTTCTATGGTGTACTGCAAAGAGTATATAATGTAATGTACATATATATAAATGTACTGCATGTATTTTATATACTCTTTGGTGTACTGGATATAGGGGAGATCCGACAGATCCCAACCACGATATAGTTGTGACCACTTGACTTGAAAATTATAAAAGAGTTTTTATTATGTAATAAAACTAAAAATTTACTATGTTTGGAATTTTCCCATTATGTGTATACATTGCTTCACGCCAAATTTGAAGAATCTAGGTAGACTGGAAGTACCCTTTAGGTTTGGATTTTGTGCTGTAATACAATACTTCATGCCAAATTTCAATAAGTTCTGACAGCGGGAAGTTGTGCTTATTTATGTTACAATTTGTTGATAATCCTAATAGGACATTGTTTTTGTAAAAAAATGATTTAATTAAGTACTTTCCAATTTTATTAAACTTTATTTTATGAAAGAAAAAGCCAAGAGAAATGACAAATAATAATAATTTCACATTAGTCTCCCCCACTCTTTGGTATGCCGTTTTCATCGTCTCTGGTTGTTACTTACATTAACATTTTACTACAAGACCCAACATCTTATAAACCCATTTATAATTTTTTAAAAAATACAATACAAAAAAATTTAGCTACTAATTTAAGTGAAGTGAATCCAAAGTGATGAACTTTTTTCGAAAAGATATGACGTAAAGGTCTATGTTACCAGGTCATAAAATTAAAAAAAAGTCTCTGGTTGTACTTTATTTGTGAACGGAGCGCCGAACAACGCAAAAAGAAGAGTGCCAGGAAAAAAAACTGAAAAAATCAGAAGAATTACGAAAGACGCCATTGTTGTTTTGTTCAGTCGCTATACAATCAAGTTATCAATATTTCATCGTTTAAGTGTTTAAAACATAGCGTATAAAACGTTGAATAAAATCTTCGGATGTTAATTAACCATGTTTTGATTATTTTTTTGGTTTAAAACACGTTGTAAAAACGGTAAGTTTCGAATGACGCGCCGGTGGATATATTTTTTCGTTATGTAAATGATTTATACGCTTACAGATTTTCAATGCTTGATTTGCCTTGTATTTGAGCAAACTCTGTTTTGTAAAAACATGTATTAAAACGTTATTTATCTCTTAGTTTTTGTGTTCACAACTGTCAAATGTATTATGGCGGGAAACAGTCATCAGTCACTTTACATTTTTACAAGTATTTAATGGGGAGAATTAAATATGCATCGTTTTAAACTTAAGCTATTTATAAGAAGTTAAATATTTTTAATGGCTTGTATATTAGATTACATAAAATTGTACTATAATGAAAAGTGATAGGTTACTAAACACGTAAACAAGGTACTTAGTAGTAACGTAGCCAATGAAAATATTTTGACAACAGATACTTCTACATTGTGGATATTAGTCTCATATTGTGTTGTTAAAATAGTTAGTATATTTGATTCTTTCTCCCTTTGTATCAACAAAGACTCCATTAAAATGTAGTTTGTGTGTAAGCAGGCATGTCCGGGGGCCATCTGGCCGTGCTGGACCGTGCGGGGCGTGAGGTGAAGCAGTACGCGCTGCCCACCGGCCTGGCCACACTCGGCAGCAGCTCGACATGCGACATCCGCTTCATGCTGCCCACAGTGGAGTCACACCACGCCACAGTTGTTGTACATGATCTGCAGGTTACAGACATTTTTAAGAACTTATTTGAGATTCTATTTTGTTAAGTAACTATTTATGATCGTAAAAAGATATGAAGAAACAAGTGGTATTGTCAATGTTATGTGAGTGTGTAAGTGGTCCTTTATTTAAATCTTTTTTAATTAGTTCATTACGGCACAGGTTGTGAGGTGACAGGCTAAAGACTTGTGAAGAAGTGCATAGTTGGCACAGCGGTTGAGAATGTAGTACTGAGTAGCAGAACAATGTGATTGCAGACAGTGGTGCACAATGTGGGCGGCGGGGAGACACTGGTGAATGGTGAGGCCGTGAGCGTGGCCCCACTTGCTGACGGCGACGTGCTGTGTGTGGGCGGCCGCGAGTTGCGCTGGCGGTACTCGCGCCCCGTCACCACTAGACACACTTCACTCACACCAGGTCTGTTGCATATATAACACTATAAATTATTCCCAATTGCTATTTTCATAGTAGTTGAATTTGTAATTAAATGAAAGGGGATTGGATGGTTAACAGGGTGGGCAGTGAGCAAACATTTAAAATAGTTTGGTACAAAAATAGATGTTGATGTGGTGTGTGTGTGTGTGTGTGTGTGGGACGTGCATGTGCAGTGATGGCGCGCATGAGCGGCGTGCGCGCGCGTGCTGCGGCGCGGCGCTCGCTGGGCCCGCCCGCGTCCGCGCCGCGCTCCCCGCACAGGCACTCCACTCCAGGTACACAACGATATCTCCTTACTTTGCTAGATCACACCATATACTTGAAATCGCTCGTTATATTGCTAGTAGTCCGTCAATGGCCATGTACATCTTTTGCTAAATATTACCGTAAGAAAATCGGACAAAAGAGATTGATGTAGAGAAGTTTTTACCACACTTTATTCGAATGTACTTGAGAGAAAAATATGTTGAAAAAAAGGAGCGCAATATGTTGGACATTGCAAATATGGTGTATGTGGTAATAAGTTAATTACAATGGTATGTAATGTTGTGTTGCAGCGAGCGCGCGCCAGGTGGCGGTGGTGCAGCCGCAGCGCCGCGACGCCGCCAGCAACATCGGTGAGTCACCTCCCCACGCTACCTCCTCCCGCACCTTCCTCACCACAAATGTATTGATGTACAAACTGTCATCCTCAGTGGTTTCCGTGGTCACCGACGTCAGACGTCGCGGCACGTCAAGAGGCGAGCGGGACACCAGCTCATCCAACAGATCTGAAGAAGCGACGGCAAGATCCAGACCGCCGAGGAGTCCTCAAATGAATCTCCAGAACACGACGAAGGCGTCGATGTGGATCGAGTCGAGGAAGTCGAGCGGCAGGAAGCAGGCGCCGGCGCAGCGCAGGGCGCGCTCGGACAGGAGGAGCACGCCGCTGCGCCTGGCCGTGCTGCGCCGCGCCCGCAGCGCGCACCGCACGCCGCCCGCACGCGTCACCAAGATACAGGCCCCGCTCACCGTCGGTCAGCGCCCGCACTCACTATCGCAACACAAACATTCTATGCTCAATTACTGCTATTACAGCTGTTTTACCAAAGAAATTTATCATTTAACAGTAAATATTTGTCAATTTTATGTAAACAGATCACACCAAGCAGGCGGCCATAATGTTGATGACCGGGCACACGCCCAAAAAGCGGGCGAATTCCAAGGCGAGCTCGGTGATGAAGAGGCCCGGGGCGACACCGGCGCGCCGCCAGCCCTCCTCCTCCAACAACAACACCTCTGCGCAGGTGCTCACAATAAATACATATCTATTCATCAATTCAATCTTCATCTATCAGTATCATTTTACTTTTTGGTTCAAGTTTATCTAGAACTGTTAATTAAAAATGATAATTATCATAATTTAATGTACGAAACTTACAATAATAGGAAATGTTACTTTCGGGAAATAACTTTGTTAATGAGATAAGTCTGAACTATATTCCAGGTACCTACAGCTGAGATAAGAAACTCGACGCCACGGATAGTTTTGAGGAGAAGCGACATCTCTACGTACTCGGTGCCGGATACGTCGCTTCGTTCTCCGCCGCAGCCGAATCCAAGAAAATCAGCGCTCAAGAATTCCTCCGCCGACAGGAGCGCAAGAAAAATTGAATCCATTAAATTTGATTTGAGCAACCTCGAGGACTCCATGGACTTGTCCACCGCCAGCGAGACCGGCCAGCGCGCCGCCGACCACCTCTCCCTGCGCTACTCCGACAGCTCCCCCGACTGCCCCCGCACCTCCCCTCGCACCTCCCACCGCACCTCCCACC